AACCCTCACACCATCCGAGGAAGGGAGATGCTATTATTATACCCATTTCCTGATGGGTGAATTGAGACTCGGAGGCCAACAGACAGCTGGACTCTAACATTGCCTTATAAAGGCCATGCCAGCCACTAAAAGCCACAGGAAGATGGACGCTGACTCCATCCTGGGGTGCTCATGGAAATAAGCAAGCTTATTCACAGGGTGAGGAAGACCCACTTAAACCTGATGGCATCTTAGTCACTGAGTTTTCAGAGCAGCCTCAATATATAAAATGGTAACTGGGTAAAGAAAGTGCTGCCATTCATCTTTAGTCATTAAAAAGCATGACTCCGGGCACAGGGGCTAGTAACTGTGGTCCCAGCTACTCAGGAGGCTGACAAAGGAGGAATGTGAGTTTGAGGCCAGCTTCAGCCTAAAAAAACATTAAGACTGGTAAGTGCTTCTGATAGCACCGGTGTAGAAAAGAGCCACTATACGCAGGATGGATGTCCCACTGTCTCAGGGTACCTATGCAGAAAAGTCATATGAAAGTTTGAAGTTTCTCCTTTGCACTTGTCTGAGTCTTTCTTTTATCTCTTTCACAGACACACAGTACAAATTGGTGGGGATATACAATGTGCATCTTTCAAGGTCTTCACTTCGCTCAATATTATGTCTTCTATTTCCATCCACTCTGAGTTGAACGATAGCATCTCATTGTTTCTTATATCTGTGTAACAGTCCATAGATAGGTATGCTATAATTTTCCAACCCAATCATCAGTGTCAGGACATTTAGTTTGGACTACATCTTTCAAAGGATTAATACATAAAATATTGCTAGTTTTTGAAAGTTTATTCTATTTACTTCTTCCATGAGCAAGAGAAATAGAGAGAGAGGCAGCAACCTCAACAGCATCTTGACATCATGATCCCCTCCCTGTCTCGGCCTCCCTGGACCGTGGCACATGCATGCCCGGCACACTCAGGGAGGTCTTCGTATGCAAGCCGAGAACTACCTCACGTGGGTCAGCCTCCCTGAGCATCGCACTGGACTGCTACACCACCATCTGGCCCCCACCTCTATCATGACTCTGGCTAGTGCTTCATTGCATCTTTTGCATTTGGGACTCTATTCTCAGCACCACACGTGTGCAAATGCAGCTAATCCCACTACAACCTCATAGCATAGAATTTACTATCATATCCATTTTATAAAAAGGAAGCTGAGGGTCAGCAGGTGGTATAACATTTAAAGTGCTGGGTCCCACATGGCCCACCATGCAGTTCGAGTCCTGAACCTGGCAGCCTGAAAATCACACTGGGCACATGTATGTGTGTGCCCAAAATCCCGAGAGGAGACTAGAGAAGGGATTGTGGTGTGTCCATCTCCCCTAAGGGATGATTTATCAATTTCCTGCTCTCTCTTTCTCTGTCTTTTTCCAGTGAACTCATATATTCTGTAGCAGAAAAATTTAAAAAATTAATAATCATAAAAAAAGCTGAGACCTAGGCTTTTTAGGCAAAGCACCAGCAGTCATGGAGCTGGATTCAGACAGTTCAGTTCAGAGCATGTGCTGTTAACAACCTTCTCGTATGATCTGGGACGAGGGGAACCAAAATTAAAGTGCCTTGGCCCCACCCTGATACTAAGAGCGCATACATCATTTTCTTCTGCAAGGCTTTGCACACATTTTTCTTTTTTCCTTCTCTGCCCATTTTTACTTTTCTGGAATGAGCTAAAAATATAACATATAACATATAAAAATAATGATATTCTCATGCTTGTCTCCTTGGGCAGGAAAACTTCCCTATTAGGACAAACCAAGAGATGTGCAGTTTCAGCCAAGAGTGAAGAGATGACAGCAAAGGACATGAGGGAGATAGGAAAAAAGAGCAGGGCTGCTGGGTCAGGGAGTTAAGTACTATACACTGGTCCGAGGCTCCAGACGAGCGTTAGCAAGGAGGCCGAGGAGGGAGAGGAGGCCGAGGACAGGATGGAGAGGAGACCGAGGAGGGAGAGGAGGCAGAGGAGGGAGAGGAGGCCGAGGAGGGAGAGGAGGCCGAGGAGGGAGAGGAGGCAGAGGAGGGAGAGGAGGCCGAGGACAGGACGGAGAGGAGACCGAGGATAGAGAGGAGGCCGAAGAGGGAAAGGAGCATGGGGAAGGGGAAGAGGATGAGGAGGGAGAGGAGGACAAAGAGGGAGAGGAGGCTGAGGAGGGAGAGGAGGCCGAGGACAGAGAGCGAGGAGGGAGAGGAAGCAGGAGGGGGTAGAGGAGGCCATGGACAGGACAGAGAGGAGGCCGAGGATGGAGAGGAGGCTGAAGAGGGAAAGGAGGATGGGGAAGGGGAAGAGGACGAGGATTGAGAGGAGGACAAGGAGGGAAAGGAGGAAGAGCACTCGGGAAGGCAGACAGGGTCCGACTGAACGCTGGGGAACTTGAAGAAACACAGGATGCCGGCAGGGCACAAGGGTGTCCATGTGGCCCAGGGTTCACGCTGGCAAAGATCTGGCTCAGCTCTAGCTCTCAGGTCAGAAGCTACACTACTGAAGATCGCCTTTTCTGTGGGTTAAAAACAGTCAGATGTTTGCAATTACACCCAGTTCAACTTTTTCATAGACACTGGCAAAACGGGAAGAAAGAGTCGTAAAATGCAAAAGATTGCGCTATTTTTGACACTTGTAATTAGTGTGGGTGTACATGTGCGTTGCATGCACACATGCGCATGCATCGTGGACCCCGGACCTGGGTCTCAACCTGATGTACCAGCACCTGCTGGGCTTTTTTCAGAACTTTTCTGAAGTTCTTGATAATAGACAAAAATGTCTTAGGTAGTAACCATTTTGGGGCAGCCTGACTGCCTGGAATTTTGCCCAAGGCCAAAGGAAATAAAGAGCCCAGAAAACAGGAACAGCAAACGCGTGGCTTTTGGGACCAGCTGGACAAACCCGGGCTCCGTCAAAGCCTCTGCGTCCTCACCTGTATAGGGAGGCAGATGGCAACAGGACCTGTCTTGAGACCATTGTCAAGTCTAACGGAGACAGGGTGGGTGTGCTCAGCACTGGTCTTAGGTGGGTTACAGAAAACACCCAAACGTAGCTGTTGACTGAAGCTATGAGATTGTTCTCTCTAGAGATTTAAAAGACCTGCCCGGGCAAGACGAGGTGTCTAAACAGCAAGGGCTCTAAGCCAGTCTTTCAGTATCCATTTCTAGGCCCCATGCCCAGGCCCCTGAAAATGTGAATCCAATCCCAGATACAGAAGCAAGACATTTTTTTTTTTGACACCTTGATTTGAAACAATGAGAAAAAATTTTTTTTTCTCAATCTCAAAACTGAGCTTTTAGGCACTCTGCCAGCAGGCACGATGGACTGTTTTCCTTCAGGGGGTCCAATTCCCCTTGGATAACTAGAACCTGGGGGGAAATGTAAAACAATAAACCATCTGTGAGGCTTTCAGACGGTGTGATTTGCAAGAAGTGCTTTTATATCTTCCTAGGACTCTGCATTAAGTCAGGATTAATTAATTGCTACATTAAAGAAAAGCACCTTTAGCATTTCAATGACATAATCACATGCAATTACGATCATATAAAGGAACACTTTATAATTAATGATGCTGCTACTTCCTGCAATGTATAATCCTTATGTCTTGAATTCCAAAGAGGCTGGCGGAAGGAAGGCACTAAATATAGATCAGGAACTAATATTTAAATCAGTTTTTAATTCATCTTTCAATATGAACAGTAAAACCAGAGCAAAAACTTCCCATTATTACATCTGGGTCTTTGTGTCTCTGAAGCTAAATATTCACCAACCACAGATTCAGACAGAAATTGTCAACATTATAGTCAGAAATGATTACTCTAAAGAGAAATACTTTTGTCACGGCAAATGCATTAAAAAGTACTCCAGGGACCAGCCAGTGGCATGGTGGTGAAGGTAACTGGATCTCACATGGCTAACCGAGCAGTTTGAGTCCCAGACCCGGAGACTTGAAAAACATGCCAGGCACGTGTGCATGTATGCCTAAAATCCCAAGAGGAGAATGGAGGAGACAAGATTGTGGTGTGGCCATCCCCCCGGAGGATGATTTCAAACTTCCCCCCACCCCGTTTCTGTTTCTCTCCCACAAGCTCACACACCCTATAGTAAAAACAAGACAAACAAACAAAAAAAGTACTCCAACTGTCCTGGCTTGGAGACGATGACATATTAATCACTTAACGAAGTATTCCATCTCATCTCTGTGACTTAAACACAGGAGTTTTCCCTGTAGTTGGAAACACCACGTTTCAAGCATGATTCTAAGCACTTAACACCTGACAGCTTAGGTCATTTTTTATAACCATCCTGAGATGTGGACTATGATTCCCATTCCGTCAATGAGGACTGAGACACTGGGCCTGAGGCTAGCAGGTGGCTTGGTGGCTAAGGCACTGGATTCCCACATGGCTGACCACAGTTTGAGTCCCAGACTTGGCAAATTGCTTTCTCTCTCTCTCTCTCTCTCTCTCTCTCTCTCTCTCTCTCTCTCACTCATGCACATGACCTATAGCAAATGAAAAGAATAATAATAATAATAAACAAAATAAAATAGTTTTAAAAAAATAATCATTTGCCCAAGCTACTACTCCCCACGAAAAGCCCGTGTGATTGAACGGCTGACCCGACAGGATAAACAGACTTTCTGGGTTTTAACATTCATTTGTTACACAAGCACCTCTGCATCAGGGAGCCCTGGAACCTCTCATTGTCTCATTTGTATTCTCAGCAAAGTTCTGCAGAAAACTACAGATAAAAATGCAGAGGGAACAAAATTCACCCCACAGTAACATCTGCAGGGCTCCTAGAGGCGGGATAAAAATCCCACCAGCACAGATGTTCCCTAAATAAATACACAGGTAAAGGCATCAATCGCCTCTCCTTTACTTCATCTTCCAATTGGATGCACAGGATTATCAGGGAGATAAGCAAGGGGGAGTCCAGGCCCCGAGATGGCGCCACGCAAGGTCAGGGGTTACCTTGTCGTAATAGTATCGCAGGGCTCTGCTCAGCTTGTCGTAGTTCATATTCGTCTTGTTTTTGCGCAGTCCCCACAGCTTGGCCACTTCTTCTGCTTTGAGGAGCTTGAATTCACCATCATTGGAGGTCCAGCAGATGAGATGCTCGTGTTTCTGGTCAAGCAGCAACTGCAACAGGAACTGCCACAGCGTGATTGCACTCTCCATACCTGGGGAGGGAGAGGGGGTCAGAGCTGTCACCTGATGCCAATCGAACGGGGGAGGGGAAGGACACGGACTCAGTAGCTCAGGGCCCTCCCCACTCCCATGAAGCTAATAAAATGTAGCTTTCATTTGCATCCTAGCAAGCCACCCTGCACTGCATGCTTTTTGGTTGCATTATTATTTTTTTAAGTTAATTTATTAACGTAAAAAAGCTAAGCCTTAGCTGATTCAGGTCATGGGTACACGTATACACCCAGAGGACACATAGATGCGAACCCATGGCCTTCCCCACATGGGTGTGGCTGCACCAGCACCTGGGCCCTCTGGCTGCATTTTTGTAGTCGGTCACAGTTCAGAAACAGTGAAGTCCCGTGTCCCTTGTGTTCACCACACACGTCCCCGCGAGTGATGGCAGCGCGTGAACACGCGATGAACCAAGCACCTGCAGAACGAGTCCGCGCTGGAACTGTTTGTCACTCAGCACGACTGTCTGTTCACCCACCCCACGGCTTTTCTGCTGGAGAGTCTGGCTGAAATGCTGGCCCCAGGCTAGCACATTTACACAGGATTGAGGCGATGACACTATGGTGCCTGTTAGTGTGACTGTCCCTTCCTATGACATGGTGAGCTTCACAAAGAAAAGACTGTTGATTTCTGTATTGATTTCTGTATTGCCAGCACTCTGATAACCCGTCACAATGCTCAACTGCAGCAGACACTCCGTTAGTAGATATTTTTTCAAAAAGTGTATTTATTTCTTCTATAAGCAAGAGAGGCAGAGAAAGAAACAAAGAGCACCCCAGGAAGGGTCTCAACACACTATCCACCCCCAGCTTCAGCTAGCTCTGGGTCACAGGCACATGCACGCCCAGCGTCCTCAGGAGGTCTCCAGACGCAAACCTGGAGCCTTCCCACGAGGGCCAGCCTCACAGAGCACTGCGTTCTCCCTCTGCACCAGCGTCCACTTCATCCGTCAGTAGTTTTGTTGTTTCCGTTTTAGTTTGGATAGGCTGTGTGCACTCCAAGGGGCAGGGAGAGTGGGGGTGGAGGAGAGAGAGAAAGGAAGTGAGAAAACACCCCTTGACGGGGGAGGCCATGATGCAATCCCTTCTCCTCCATTCTCTCCATAAGATTTTAGCCACACATGCATGACGAGTGTGTTTTTCAAACTGCTGGGTTCAGGACTTAAGCCACTTCGTCAGCCATGTGGGATCCAGAACCTTAACCACCATGCCACTGGCTTCCTCAACAGTCAGTAGCCTTTTATGAAACTGAAGAATCAGTTATTGCCTATTGAAGAGACCTTCCCGAGGTGTTTCCTAGGTATTCATCCTGATGCAGAACAAATCCCACTGTCACAAGTGCTCAGAGGGGAAGGCATTTTTGTCTCACTGTGAAAGGGAGGCCCGTAAAAGGTTACCCTCTTCTTTTGACTCTGGTGTAAACTTTGTAAGTGTTGTTCCTTCTGCCTCAAATGCTGTTCCCTAGCTTTGGAGCCTGGCAAACTCTACTCATCTATCCTGATCCAGCTCAATCGGGACCTCTCTAGGAAGTTTCTCCTGGCTCCCAGGGCATTTTCCCAACTTCAGGCATGTGAGCACTTCCATAGTAATGGGAACTGATTCAAAGTAATAATAGCAATCCATTCGTTTTATCAACATTCATTAAATTAGGAAGGAAGAGGTGGCTTGGTAAGCCTCAAAAGTTTCACCGCACACCTTCTGGTGTGAAAGGAAGTGCTCAGCCAAGCTGTGAGGTGGGGACAAGCCCAGAGAGAACTAGGGCTCGCCCCACCTCCACGCCTCCACTCATGCATTCTTCTTAAAGGAGACCTGTCAGATTCTGATGCCAGTTATTTTTCTCCCTTTTCTATACAGAAATGAATGTGAATATACCCAGGCATCCAGCAAGCAGTCATTTTCTTATTTGCTTTCACAGGTTTAGACAGAAGAGTGCATCTCACCATTTCTCTGAGTAATGTGGCTGCAACCTGGGTTTCTCAAGGAAAGCAGAGTTCTCTAAATACCCACAGGCATTTAACTTATGCCTCTATGGGAGATACACACACACACACACACACACACACACACACACACATACACACACACACACACACGCACACACACACACACACACTAGTTTTCAAAAAATGCTTATTTATTTATTTCATGAGTGAAAAAGAAGAGAGAAATACAAGCATCCTCAATAGGTCTTGTGCCATGATCCTCCCCCAGCCTTCCCAGCCAGCCAGGATCATAGGAACATGCACACTGGTGTGTACAAGTTGACCAGGAAACCAAATCCTGACCTCCCATATGGGTTCCAGCATTGCAAATCTTTGCACAATCACTGTGTTTGGACCTAAAGGAGATGTTCTTTACAGAAATCAGTATTTACCACACAATCTCTCAGTCCGTAAGATGGTATCATTGTTGGAACAAAATCACCTGGGTATCCCCTGAGCTGGAATACATGCAGTTTATTGGCACCAACTCCTACCACAAACCACCTTCTGATTATTTGAGAATGAGCCACACACTTTCTTCTCTTCCCCAGCACTAAGAATTGCTAACTGTTGTCCTATATTCTTGGGGTATTCTTGGCTCAACACTTGAGACAGAAAGCTTTAAAATATCTTTGAAACTTTAAGTGGATGCTTGAAGGAGCCCACTCCCCAAGGCAGAAGGCTACCTGTGGATTTGGAGGTCTGGATGGGAGGAACTCCTAGGCCTCTGGCTCCCAGGCCAGGTGGGAAAATGGTCAGCCCCTACCAGCCACTACCCAGCTCTACTTATGGACCATGATATTCCAGTGGGACGGGGGCGAGAGGACATCTGTCCATGTATCTTACATTAGTGCTCCCACCGGCCAGGACTCCTCCGGGTCTTCTTGTGCTTCCTAGAATCTCTTTTCGTGGCGTTCCAAAACCACATAGCAGAGACTATGTTCACCGGACATAATTTAAGAAGCCCACACAGTAGGTCAATTCTTCTTGCCTTCTCTCATTCTAGTGGGTATGTAGCACTGCACCAGAGCAGAAGGAGCACTTTTTTCCCTATCCCACTGATATTTGGGCTTGGCCATATGATTTAATTTGGCCAGTGAACTTCTGGGTAGAAATGACAATGTGCCAATGCTGAGGTGGAACCTAAAGGGGCAGCCCAAGTGTGTGCTTCTCCTCCTGTGCTGCTGCTATGAAGCTGCTGCCCCAGAATGAGAAATGTGGGGCTGACCTGAACTCGAACCCAAGCTGACACCAACTCTAACCCACCTTCAGTCTGAAGCAGCACCCCTAAAGCCAACTCAGAATTAAAAGCAAGAGAGAGAGAGTGCATGCATGGTCATATTGCAACCTCCCTTCCTTCATTTCTCCCTCTTGTCAGAATGTTGGACACACAAGCACACATGCCTGGTATATTTTTCAAGCCACCAGGGCTACACTCAAACTGTGGTTGGCCATGTGGAATCTGGCTCCTTTAACCACTGCACTACAGAGCTGGCCCTTTTAATTTAGTTTTAAAGAATTATTTATTTAACTTTATTAGTTATTATTATTTTAATTTGCTATAGGGCACCTATGCTCACCAGAGAGAGACAGAGGGAAAGTGGGAAAGCCAGTCACATCAGGTCCAGGACTTGAACAGTGGTAGACCATAGGGGAGTCCAGCGCCCTAACTACTACATCACCTGCTGGTTCTGGCCCTTTTCATTTAAAAAAAAAAAATCCACTCTTAATTTATTTCAATTCCAATGAAATCAAGTTTCATAATTTACATCATTTTCATGTAAGAAGGGACATTGAAAAGTTTGTGGATAAACGAAATTGACATATGAGTTTGTTTTGGTGCCAAAAAAATAGAGAGAGCGAGCCAGCTGCTGGTGTGGTGGTTAAGATGGCTGGATCCCACATGGCCAACTGTGCAGTTCAAGTCTTGGACCTGAAGGCTTGAGAATTATGCCAGGTATGTGTGCATGTTGTCCAACATGCCAAAAGGAAGGAGAAATGGGGGGAGAAGGAATTGTGGTGTAACCATCTCCCATGGGGGGTGCTTTCTCACTTTCTTTATCTCTCTCTCTTTAGTGAGTGCACACGCCCTCTGGCAAACATAGTTTTTTTTTTTTTGTCAAATGCATCTTTCACAAACTTTTTGAAGCCCCCTCATACAATCCTGCTTTATGTTCTACCACACTTGTGCAGCCACAAATGTTGTCCTTGAGGACACTGGCTAGAAACCAGTGCAGAGGTACAAGAAATAGGGAAAAACAAGGCAACACCTCGTCCTCAATGGAACAGAGCAACTCTTCTTAACCATAGGCAGCTCAAAAGAATTTGCAGGAATGTCTGAAATAGAATTCAGAATATTTATGGTGGCAGAGACGAGGAAGTCTTTCCAAGATTTGAAGGAGGAAATAGACACCATAAAAAAGTATTCAGGACTTGTAGAGATGAAGACAATCATGCAGGAAATTAAGATCTCCTTTGAAAGTATTAACAGCACATTGGACCATGCAGAAGACAGAATCTTTGAGTTGGAAGACAAAACCTTGGACTTAGATAAGACCATTGAACATAATGAAAAAAATAATTTTAAAAAATGAGGACAACATACAGGAAATACTAGATAGACACTATCAAACACCCAAATACACGGAAAAGAAGTTCTAACACTGACCAGGAGCAAGCTCTTCCAATAGTCACTCACATTAATTTCATACATGAGCAAACTCAGGTCCATGAGTATCTCCCCCATCAGGGGAAAAAAAATTAAGTGATGTTTTCCCCCCTCCATTAATTCCTTGAGGTCTAGAATCTTTAATGAACTCTGATGTCATAACATGCAAGAATGGAAAAGTCCAATTCATCTGAAGCCACAGTAAGGAATGTAATTCAGACAGCTTACTGTGGCTCTACTTAAATAAACAGTTTAAGAAAGCGTAGATACTTGAGAGTTATGCTTGATACATTTTTATGCTAATGGAAGCCTGTTTTAAGCTAAAATGTTTC